AAGATTTTGCACTATGGTCTTTAAAATAGGCTTTTAGACTTAAAGACCCTCTTTAATTTAAATTGTATTAAAATTTTCAATGAATGTATGTATGTATATATATATATATATATTCAATTGTATTTCAAATAATGAATTTTAAAAAACTACTATTTCTCAATAATTAATCAAAAACTTTATGAACAAATTCCAACTAGATTTTAGGTTCTTTAATGTTATTTTAAAAAAAAATTAATAACCTTTAATATTTAATATTTTTTTCTTGTAACATATAATATTAATTAGCAAGGTGACAACTATATATCTACAAAAAATTATATAAGTTATAAAATTGGCTTTTGTTTTATAAAGACCTATTATTGATTTTTGAATAATTAAAAATATATCAAAATTATACAATTCAAACACAATAATTAGATACAACTAATATAAGTAAATAAGTAACTATCAATAAGTTCATAGAATGAGATTACACTTTTAGATCAAACTATATTATAATAAAAATGAAGTAAAAAAAAACTATACAAGCTCTACAAATTTGCTAATTAAATTTATGTCTTACAAACAAGATTTTTTCAAGAAATAATATCTCACAAAAAAAAAAAAAAAAAAAAAAAAAAGTTTGTGTTTGTATCAAGTTTTTACATATAATCAAAATTAAAAACAAAAAAAAAATTATAGTTAAATAAATATAAACACATGTTTGAAATATTGAATTCATGCAACTTATTACTTATATTTCAAAGAATAGTGTGGCTTTTTGATTGCGAATTAATGTTGAAGAAATAAAAGTCAGCACTTTTAATATAAAAAAACATTAATTTTTCAATTGTGATTACCTTGATCCAATTGAAACTATTTTAATAACCTCACAAATAATCTACTAAATTAATGTTTAATTAGTTTTATTATTGTTATTTTTATTTAACACACAGATAATAGCTTATTATAAATATAGAAATAAAATCTAATATGATTTTTAAATTTAAATTTTATCCTGCAAAAACGAATATTAGTTTGTAAATTATACATAACTTTCTAGTGAAAATTTCAATTTCTATGTAACTATGCTATTGTGCATTTAATCAATATAAAACAATATATTCAACATATTATCATAATTTTAATCAAATTTTTGTAAAAAGTTACATTTAACATGTTTAAAATTTATGAACAAATCATATATTATAAAACATAATTCAGTTTAATTCGAAAAAAAATAATGTATTAACAGAAAGATAATCATTATGTCGTGTTACTATATTTAATCATACATTTGATATTTGGCTTGATAGGAAGCCAACTCTCATTCAGAGTTTCTAATTTCAAGTTTTGAGTTCCTAATCAGCTCTTCAACATCCAAGTGGCCCCAGTATCTAAGTTTGCGTGAATGCTGAAAAATTGCTGGAGTGTTGCAGATTGAACTCTTTGAGCTGCAAGAGCAAATCCATAAAATTAGATCTTGTGCAGCGACTTTCAAAATAAGCACACTGAGAACTTCGCTAATTCTTTCAAAGGGCATCTTATAAACAAACCTCCAGGACACGGTTCCGATTTACATCGAAGAGACGAAACATGAGGTCCAGCTCACTCTGCAGGCACATCCAAGATATTGCAATGTGAGAAAGTAGCAATGAATTAGAATAGTATATTTTGTACAATTCATTACAGGCGATAGCATCACCCGAATGCATCATTAAATGGACTTTTGATGATGTAATGTGAAGACATGCAGATGTGCATATTTTAAGTGCACTTCAGACTAAAATTATTTGTAAATGATACCAAAAGTTTGAGCAACAAATCAAAGCCAGCAGCACATGCATAACTGAGTGAAGGATGAATGAGTAATAGCACAAAAAACTAACAAACAAAAGAACAACAGGTCGCCAACAGAACATTCAGAACATCAAACCTGACTTATATGCTGGGCAGAAGGATGCTTCCGCACAATTTCCATGAATTCGAGTTGTGTGACTGGCTTTCCTGCCACTGACGCATCAACGGCTTCCTAGGATTAGAGGATCTAGCTAGATCGATGTTGATAACAAGCTAGACCAAACGAAGATGATGATGCAGCTAAGCATTGCTACATCAAATTATTTTGAATGAAATATTGGGTTCCCTATCTACCGTAACCCTTCACTTGTATAGAAAATGTTGGACGGACGTGAATAATTTTAAGCAGCATAAAAGCTAACGGACAAAATTTATATTTCAGGAACCAATCAAGATTTTCAGAGGCTTCTATAATTCATCGTCTAGACAAGAGATGAGAAATGCGACGTAAAAGAGGTAATTTGGTGTTACTTAAGATAACATCATTAATTGTAGAACACTTTTTTAATGTTTTGGAAGCCCCAATCATCCTGCGATCAAACCTTCAGTGATGACCACTTGGAAAATGTCATCAAGGTCGTCCAAGTGTTGTACGAGATTTTGCAGCCCCGCTAAATCCTGAAAGAAAGAGCATTTGGAAAAATTTCTTGTCAGCTGAGATGCAGGTGATTTAATGAATCTGAGGGTCTTGCAACGGTGAAAGTTCCACATTAATAGTCAACATCAACTTGGTATCATCTTGAAAATGTCCGTAAGCGTACTGAAAAACTGACCTGAGCACGCCGTCTATCATCCATCTTGGGGCCAACACGAGAGTAAGCAAACAACATGGTAGCAGCACATACAGATGTGGCAGTGGCACATCCTGAAACCCACCAAAATAGGGTTGGATGTTCTTCAAATCCACTGCAGAAGGGTAGTGTAGTTAATAGCATTTACTACATCTCTATATACTGCCAAACATAGCATGGTCGTCAGTTCAACATAAAGTACAAACCTCTGAAGATTCATGCCGAAAAATGCCCCAATAGCTGCAGCTCTGTGAACATCAAGATGTATTGATGTAAGAGATATTTTACATGGAGTTAGCTGTAAACAACAATATAGCATCCACTTATTGCCAAAAGATGTTCAAGAAAAACTCAGTCAAGAATTCATCACAACCGACCTAGTTAAATACACCAATGTTTAATTTTCTCTTTCGGTCATAAATTATCAAAGTTTCAACTACAACGCAGATGGCAGATTTTCTAAGCATCGCTCTCCTATAGACACACAATATTTTTTAGGATGACTTTCACAAGAGCCGCACACGTTTGTGTAAAAAATTACTTATTCATATTGCATTACCAAAAAAAACAGGAAATCAAAAAGAAAAGAAAAGAAAAGAAAGCATCATCTCACATAATCACTGCTAAGGGTCTAAATCTTTCATAAATCAAGGAAAAGACAGCAATAGCATTCCGATTACTTACAAGCTTACGGACAGGGTGCACATGCTCATCATCAGATCTGTGCGTATGATTCGGTTTCGAGTTGTGTCTAATCCCAATTCCCAAATCTGTACACATGAGCTGTCTCAGTATGACTTACCTACAAGTGAATGTAGACATTGCTTCACAGCAGTTTGAGTGCTTTTAGAATTACCTCCTGAGCCGCATTCAAATCTTTTCGCAGCTCCTCAAGTGCACCACCAGCATCATCAAACTGCGCTACCACGAAGACACAGTCAGAACCCAGTTTTCTGCACAACGTCGTTATATGCAAGAAAAAGGCAAGCGCTTCTCAACCTTCAGAAAATAGATCAATACCTCTCGCTGATATGTCAGGAGCATGTCAGCTGCTGCCTGCCGTAGAATACTATGATGAAATGATGCCTCTTTGGTTCTACAATGTCAAGAGATTAAAAAAAGGTTACCGAAGCTATAACTTTACAAAAAATATAAAAAGGAAAAAAAAGAAGAAAAGAAAAGCATCCAACATAGTTTTATAACTTCCAAATCTACTGTCTCACATAATTCACTGTGCAATGGCCTTCAAAGAATAATTATTTCCATACCAGAAATGGATCCCTAGACTATATTCTCTATGTGCATGCTGTGTCTGAAGTTCAAGTTTCCGCTTCTGCATAAGTTCAAAGACAAGAGTGTACTTATTGGGAGTGCTCGAGCTGATTGAGCACAGTGTCTTGTCTTCAAGACAAAGGGCCTGCAGATTCTCATCACTATTTAACACCTGAAAATTCCGAACACATTCACCAACTTTAGATGCTATTTCGATTGAGCTCCAATGAAAAATTCTAAATAACGTGGATCTGAATATGAAAAATTTCAACTAGAAACTATGACTTATACCTAGTGACTTTTGCACGTTTAACAGAAATATAACAGGCGCAAAGAGTAGAGAGCATAGAATGGTATTGGTCTTTATAAATGGGGGAACCTAGTTGTAGAAAGTTGCTAAGGATAAATTCCCTTAGTAGGTTTTTCACCACTTGGGAATGTGTCAAAAGCTTCTTTTATCAGGCAACATATCGCCAAATTAACCTTACGAGAAAACTAATACAGCTGCAAGGCAAAAAGCAATGGACTCTAATTCCAAGAGATTGCTAGGAAATGGTATTGGGTGTATACCTGCTCCATAGCATTATGGGCATCGTGAATATCATGCTCCACTTCTGTGAGGGCCCTCTTTAACGGCAGCAATCGCTGGAGCCTACATTCCACTAAAGGTTCAATGCGGTTAATACAGTTCTTGTTTGTCTTTATTGTAGTCTTCTGCATCGCTGTTACCTTTTACGGTGTCAAAAGATTCTGTAAGCATGTGAATTGCTCTTCACAGTGGTCAGACAAACGTAACTCCAGAACACCGTAGCTGCTAGAAGCTAACCTAGAAAGTAAGGTTTGTTATCAAGATGCGGTAGCAAAATCTAATGAGAAACTGTTTAACGAGACTGAGGGTAAAGAAACACGCACCCTCCCATATTCACGTCTGACGTAAGCTCCTCAAGGATGCGCTCCACCAACACCTTAAGTCTTTGCAGCTAACCGTATGAGCCTTTGTGCCCAAATCTTTAAAAACAATTATTGACAACAATACTTCACTACCTTAACAAGAATTTAAGTGTTTTAAGGTGCATTTGTAAAAGCTTCTGACCTGGAAATTCTCAAAGAAAAATTTTCTACACTTTTTAAAAGGATTAGTCAGTAAAGGTCACTTGCGTTACTGAACTCTGCCGTGTGGTACTGGTCCGAGCTTGATTAAGAAGAAGGACAATCATAACAAGTATAAAAACTGATCACAATAATACATCCTACCGACGATCATTGTGGTTTTGTCACAGTATTACTGTCGAGCCATTAAAGATGAGAGTCTCACTAGCACAACGATCTGTGAAATGAAACTATTACCAGAAAGTGAAGAGAGTATCACCTTTCAACTTTCTGATTGAAAAAATTGCTGGTCTCCTCAAGCAAGCACTCAATCATTTTCAAGTGAAATGGCATGATCTCATAAGTGTATCCTGATGGATTCTTCACTTGCTCGGCCATGGAAATTGCAAAAAACTCCCGTGCCCTGCAGGAATTAGCATTCGACAAATGATGCTGGATTGTAAATACACCCAGTGATCGAAAGCACTTCGAGACTGGAAGTAATGACTAAACACAGCCATTAGGTATCATAACGAACTCAAAAGAAGATGTCATCGGAATCAGCTGGTACGATTCAAGCATTACGATGAATATTCATGCTCTGAATGACTGCAAACTAACCCCGCATTACATGCGAAATGGTGCTACTGTATCATTTGAGTTCTGAGGTTTTTAAAAATTAATTTCAGATGCAATACACCTATTCAAGGCAATCAATTCTCAATGTTCATTGAAGGCTAAGCAGCACAACAGCAAACAAATGTTGCACCTTGTGACTTCTTATTCGGTGACCAATAGGTACCTGTCCATTACTTCATTTGTAGCTTTTCTCTTACTTGATAGATTTCCCACGGTTCCACCCACCTTGCCGATTCTACAATCATCATCAGATGCCAAGAGGGTTACCAGGACTCCCCTCTACTATGACGAACATGGGAAAATAGTTGCAGCAACCAGTATGTTATCTAATTATAGTTTCACGTGACGTGCAGAGTGACTAATCCAACGACTAAATCTGCTGTAAATCAATAATATCTAATAATACCTCGTTGTTGAAACAACGAACATCTAGTGCCTTCTCTTGGCATACCACAGCGAATTATGATTCGGATGATATATCCTGGTAGCATTTGTCTGGTGAACCAAACCTGACCGTAATAAGAGAAAGTCGAAAAAAAAAGAAAAAGAAGAAAAAGAAGAAAAAAGAAAAAAGGACGTTGACAACTGATAAACGCCTTACACCCTGATACATAATTACAAAATTAGACAAGATGAACTAGAATACGATCTGTCAGTCCTCTTGAAAATACTTAATGCGAGCGAAAGGCGTGGTTGTGCAGACATACGGAGGACGGCGAGCTTCAAAAAGTATGGCGTGGTCTCTGCAGACTAGTGCTCTCACATTCTCCATGCGCACGATCACCTAAAATGAGAATTACACATGCAAAGTCAATCTCCTGAGCAGCAGGGTGCAACTGAGTTTAACATTAACGAAACTGAGAAACTGGTGCACTCGTCGCTCAGACATACGACTTAATTCTAATAGGTAAATAAATTAAATAGTACAATCTAATGACTATACCTTTTCGTTCCGAACAGATATCGTCGCCCGTTGGGGTACAAAGGACTTAGACCTCGCCAACAAATCGATGTCCCTTGGATGAATATTCTAAATCATACAAACACAAGCTTCCTTCAGATTCAGTACGTTGCAGAGTCATTGACGATTGCTTCTTTGGTGTCAACCACACCACAAACTATAAACACGCCTATAACAGTCAAAATTAAGACTTGTTCTACAATAAGAGAAAACACATCGACTGCTGTCCAAACCCAAGGAAAACCTAACAATGCAAGGGTATAATTCTTACAAACTCGGAGGTCCTCAGCGAAAGATGATGCCATGAACCGTCATCGTCTATTCGAACAACATTGAATTTTGCGCCCCCGTCCAGAACCTTCTTGGGAGGATTCTTCCCTTCTGTGTTTTTGATATCAGGTAGAGAGACTATCTCTGAATCGTCACTATGATTGTTTCTTGTACAATATCTCGAAATGTGTCCATGCGACCAGTAACGATTATTCTCATCATGTGAATATGAAAAAATGCTATGTTGAGCTGAAGTAGATATCGGGCGGACCAACGCAAGAAACCTGTTCGCCGAAATGACTGTACATGACATATTGCTGGAGGAACCTAACGTTGCTAATATTCTCGAAGTATTGAGGAAGCCACGTGACCCAGTTTGTTGGCTCAAAATGTAAGTGCTGGCAAAACGCTGCAAGTGTACCCTGGCCATCTTCGTTTTCGTAGTGCACCAATGTTTATTTCAACAACAACGCAAGGTTTCTAGTCTTTATCATCTTTCTCCTGAGTATGAACCCTCCGTGTCTCTTAAGAAACAGACACTCCAAGATCAGTCTGTTTTCATCAATAGAACAATTCTTGTCCTGCACCTCAAAAGTAGTCGACATCAAGACATAAAGTAAAAATGTGGAAAATGGTAGGTAAAATTCTCATCGTAGGACTCAGAAGCCTCAACCCTCACATGGAGCAATGAAATCATGACCAATTGAATGTTGCTGAGAAAACGAAAAAAACATTCCTATCTCTCAATCCAAAAGAGGGTCGGTAAAGCCAGTGCAAATTACACTGACAGTTGCAGGTGCCTACAAAACGCAGAACCTTCAAATTCCTTTAAATGGTCCCCAAAACTACAATTAATCAAAGTGTTTGATCCCTCAGCCCAGCGCGCTCAGCTAGAATGAGATAGCACGTACTGCTTACAAGATCGACTCCTGAAATTCAAAGAACACTTGTCGAGCTACCACAATTACCACCATTCAGATCCTCTACTAAACGTTGACTCACAAGTTCGAGAAAATTTGACCTCAGCCCAGCAGCAGCGAAAATTCGCCGACACACTGAAACCCACTCCACTCTGCTGAAAGCTGAACCCTGAGTCTGTCAAAATAACTCAGGCGCGTGGAGAGCAGCATGCATTAGCAGAGATCAAAAATACGAACCATGGTTACGAATAGTTCAAAGTTCCAGACAAGAGACCAGAAAACTTGCCATACCCTAGCGAAAAGAGACCTTCCCGTTACTGCCACGGTGGCCTCCTAACTTGCACGTAAACATTCTTCGGCGATACTAAAATTGGGGGGGCGGGCCTTGACGATATCCCTTCGCAATCTTGATGTCCTAGACTCAACCCACTTTCATTTCGCTTTCATCCACTCAGATGGTGGTGTGCCTCCAAGCCACCTCTGGTGCAACGCTCCCAAGGCGACGCAATTGAGGCCTTGAATTAGGGCTTCCACTTCCGAGACTTTCGACGATCCTGACTCTTTCTTTGCAACTCGGGTTCCAGTTGTGGTGTATTAGTGAAGTTGGTGTGCACATATGTGCAGCGTCGTGTTCAGAGAGGCTCTGTAGCTCGGATGCTTTGGAACTGCGATGAGTTCACATTTTAAAAGCAGAGTGACGATGCTGGGCTGTGCGCTCGTAGAATTCAGTTTGTTTTGGATGATGGTTGGGTAGGTTTTGTTATGAGTTGCAAGTTAGGCGAGCAAGACACGTCCAGAAGTTCTTCCAGGGATTGGCAGGAGTTGGTGGCAGAAGTCAGACTTGAGGTATGGGTTTCCAGTATCTATTGCTTCTAGTTTTGCTTCTTCTGCTAGTCTTGCTAATGGTTTAAGATGAGGTTGCTCCATCTAAAGTGGCTAGAAGCAGATGGGGTTAGAAACAGATCATGTCAAGTCCGCTCCGAGAGAAATTCAGGCAGAGGTTGGAGAAATTGGAGATCACTGTGGTTTGTACTAGGGTTTCGACAGAGTCCTTGCAGTGGAGTTGCAGTGATTTTTGTTGGCTGGGAACCACGATCATGCACTGGGAACTGGGAGTTGGAAACGGGGAGACTGCCCGAGGGAGTTGGGTAGATGACGTTGATATGAGATAGGTGCGTGTGGGGGCAACTGCAGAATGTAGACTTGCTGACCTGGAGTATGAGCAGGGGGTGGAATTGGCGGCAGCCAGTGCACAATGTTCAGATCATGATGTTGCTCTGCATCGACGATTCGGTACCAGATACAGCGTTCTTTGTGAGCCTTTGATGAAGATTAACGCCACAATTTGCTTTTGTCCCTAGTTCGTAATTCATAATACTGGCTTTATCCTCGCGAGACAGGTCTATTAGCCTGGGCTGGTTCCAGTGAAGTGACAGGTCGAGCGTATTGGGAGTGAATTGGGGGATGATGATTAGGAGATGATCGCAAGGGTGCTCGGGAGTTGGTCTGGTACATTTTCCGAGGAGTGAATAGATTGGAGGGCGTGTTTTATGTAAGAGCGTGCAAGGGTAGGTTTCCGTGAGATCGTTGATGCACTGGAGTGCGACTTGATCTGGAGGCAATTTGGAAGTTGTGGAGCGGACAGGAAGGGGGTGTGAAAGTGAATCAGTAAGAGTGCGGGAGCAGCAGGAAGATAGGAGGCAGCGGAGAGGATGGCGAGCCCTTTTCCCAACGATGGATCGTTTTTGGAGAGGTTCAAGCAGCTGCAGCAGGACGGTCCCTCGAAGGCCGACACAAGCGGTCCCGTGGTGTTGAAGAATGTGAAGTCGTCAAAAGCGAGCTCGAACAGCAAGGGTGGAGGTGGATCAGCGTTCGGAGGGCCCAGGAAGGGATCTTTACCGAACGGGAAGCTAGCATTCAGTCTAAAGCAGAAGTCGAGGTTGGCGGTGAACGCAATCAAACTTGGAGAAGACGAGGACGAGGAGGAAGACGGGGATGCCCAGAGACAAGCCAAGAAGGTGAAGACGGAGAGCGCGTCGAAGGGCAAATCACCGGAGCCGAAGGAGTCGGGTGAGATAGCATGGGGGATGGTGTTGGGTGCGGTTATTTGTGATGACTTTGGGTGAGGTGGAGGTGGAGGTGGAGGTGAAGGTGAAGGGCAGTGTGAGGAGGGTGATCGTGGAGGGTAGGGAGGATTGTAGGGGAAGGACGTAGTGACGGGATATTTGAATATGACTGAGGCCATAGCATGTTGTTGTGTGGAAATGGTGCAGTTCCTGCTCCTCCAGCAGACGGAGAGGTGAAGAAGGTGGCGGATAAGCTAGCGCTGTTTGTAGCAAAGAACGGGCGGCAATTCGAGGAGGTGACCCGTGAGAAAAACCTTGGCAAGGGTCCGTTCAGGTGTGTAGTCGTGCGTCAAGTTAGAAGTTGCGGTTGCAAGTTTTGGATGGTGGGTAGTGGTACATGTGGAGATGGTGGTGTTGGTGATTTGGGGATTTTGGTGCATGGCGTGGATGGCGTGTGGATGGTTGGAGGGCATGTGTGGGGCGGGTGATGATTTTGGAGGAGTGGCGAGTGTGAGCAGTTTTTTGTACGATACGGAGTGTGCGGAGTATAAGTACTACGAGTATCGGGTTGCTCAAGAGGAGGCAGTGCTGGCAGGCGAAGCGGGTGGATCGCAGGCATCGCAGACAGGTAGGGAGTGGGTGCTGGAGTGGAGATGATATTTGAAGTGGGGGAGTTGGTGGGGATGTATGTGTGGGTGTTGGAGCGGTAGAAGCGGTTTGGGGTTTGTTGGAGAGGTTGGCAGGTGGTGGTTTGAGGGGACGACATGTAATTGGATGCAGGAAGCAGTGGCGCGAATCAGGGTAGCTCTCACAGGCAGTCGAGTGGAGGACAGCAGCAGAGGTATCAGACACCAGCTTCGGCATTGTACAGCGGCGGCAGTGAGCAGCATAAGGCAGGTTATTCACCGGGGCCTTCACAGGAGTCGGTGCAAGGTACGGATGCGGGGACAGGAGGTTGAGTTGGTTTGTGGCGTTGTCGGATAGTAAAGGTTGGAAGAAGCAATACGGAGGGGTGATGTGAGGTGGAGCATACAATGTTGAGAGCATGGGAGTGGAAAGCTGGGCGTGGATGTGTGGCGTCGTGAATAGTAATGTGGTGGGAGGATTTGGTGGTTGATGTGGGCGGTTGTGTTTGGTGGGCGCGTGGTGGTAATGTATGGATGAGGTGGTGCAATGGGGAAAGGCGGTGATGTGGTAATGCGGTTGGAGTGGGTTGTAGGGTTGGCAGATCGATACAGCCAGCAGGGTTATGCAAATGATTCAGTGGCAATGATGGAGTTTTACATGAAGAAGGCAGCGCAGGAGGCGATACGAAGACCTCCGAAGCAGTCGAAGGATGAGATGCCTCCTCCTCCGGGGCTGCATCCGCCAGGATCAGGTAGGGGAGAATGGTTAGAGTGGTAGCATGCAAGGGTGGGAAGGTGGTGGTGTTGTGAATGATGGGACATGATCATGGCTCGGGGGGTCCTGGCAGGATGTGCAGTGGAAGGTTTTAGTGGCATGGATATGTGTGTGTGTATGGTGTGGCATGCGCACATGGTGGAGGGTGCGTGGAACGGAGCTCGAGTCTGATGTTTCGAGGTGGTTTGTTGATGACAGATAGTTGGAAACACGAAGAAGCGGGTGTGGCAGGTAAAGTGGAAGATGTAGGGGTTTGCGTTGCATTGGCGTGGTTTTGTAAAGACGTGGAATGTTGATGATGCAAAGCATTGGTGTGGTGGTGGAGAAGGTTGATGAGAATTGGTAGAGGTAGCGGCTTAATGCAGTGATGTGTGGGATTCAGAAGATGCACGTCCCAGCTATGTAACCCCTAGCGTAGGGGTGGTCGAGGATGGTGGCGCAGGTTTATATCCTGACAAAACTATCTGAATACATGCATGGATGTGGGGTAGAGTATGTAGGTTTTCTTGCGCATGCATGGGGGAGGCGGAGGACGTTGGGAGTGGAGGGCATGCAAGGAACGCGGGGTTGTAGAATTGTTAGAAGTTGCAGTGTCACGTGGGAGTGGATGAAGACTTG